GAATCTATTTCAGATTTTCGGGGGTCAATCTCTGCGCTCCCCAAACTCGTAAAGTATTTCCGAATATCTCGTTCGAAAGATGATTGTTTTATTAGGTAATGTGCAAAATTTCAGAGATTTCGCTATAAAGGAGTTGCCGAAATACAGTAGAGCGTCGATTTGCCGAATCAATTGGGGATTTGGGTTGTTCGTATAACTGATATTTCGGATAACCGATTTATGTACGAAAAAATAGTTTAACGTATCCGATGTTGAAATTTTTCTCCGTTGCGTGTCGCTTCGCGTTGAATTTTCGTCGATGTTAAGCCTAACAAAGACTATTGTATTGTTAAAAATTATTTTTTAATTTTGTACAAACAAAATAAATATAATGAAAAATATTAAAACAATAAAAAAATTATACGTCAGATGTTAATTTAGTATCAAAAACGTAAAATATTCGAGTAGCCCAAGACATAGCCAAAGATTGAAGCGCCACAGCACTGGCGAAAGAATTTAAATTTGCCGACTGAAATTCTTTCGGATGATTGACTTTCGGAAAATCGACGCTCTACTGTATAAACAAACGAAAAATGCAAAAAGCTAATTTCTCATTCCGAACTGCAAACGGTTTCAGAGAAAAAACTAGTGGGTCTAGAAAGCTGAAATTTGGAACTTAAGCCCCCCCCTCTCGTCATCAGCGAAACTTCCGGATAAATTGGTCAAAGTTTACCAGTGTTACCGTTGGAACTATTTAACTTTTATGGCTTAATTTCGTGCTTATAACGACAAGATTGCATCGAAACAAATGATTTTCATTCAAAAGGATATTCAGAATAAAAAAAAAAAAAAAACTCAAATTTATGTCACTTAAACTCAGGGACGTGCGGTAATTTTCTCAGTATGATGCAAGTCTTCGTTAAATGTAACACAGCCTTTGAAATTAAAAGCCAGTAATAATAAACGATCGTGTGATTTCGTAGGAACTTATAACAAATTTCATCTAATTAACTAACAGTCACATTTAAAAAACTACTGTTTTACACTTACTTGTTAGCTAGATCAAATACATATATGTGCGGGCTTATCACACCACTAAACGAGATAATCATTAAAGATTTTGTAGTTTATACACCTTATTAAAAACACTACAAAAGTCACGGCTCTTTTAAACAATTATATAAGCTTATACAAAATAAGCGGTTAGATTTACCTTAGGTAGCCAAAATGGCAGCTCATCTCTGATTCCAGCAAACAAAAGAAAGGAAACAGTGGGGACGCACGTTCTAACCTAACCTAACCTATTCTAATAATTTGGTTTGTAATAATTATGGTAATTTATTAGAATAGGTTAGGTTAGGTTAGAACGTGCGTCTCTACTGTTTCCTTTCTTTTGTTTGCTGGAATCAGAGATGAGCCGCCATTTTGGCTACCTAAGGTAAATTTAACCGAATAAGCTTACACTAAAAATGCATTACGGACTCAATACGTCCCACTTCAGTTGGTGTTTGTACTTAATTTAAACATAAATTATAAAAATACATTAAAAGACCGTTGTAAATATGACAAATTCACAATTATCACAGGTGATGTCTCACAAGTATAATATACCATCACCTTTTTAGCCTTGGGAACACTAACTTATACAGTTTGCCAAAAATTACTATTTTTATAATTAAAATATTATAAATGTAAAATAATAGATATATACTCACAATTAAACCTACAGTTGAACTAGCTGAAATAACTTACTACACAAGGAAACACCGGACTAATATTACGCACTACCACAGCTCGAGCTCTGTGGCTAATTTGCATAAACATACAAGTTAGCAGCAGGAAATGACGTCATCTTCTGAGCGTTATTTCTTGACGTCAATAACAAATATCAGAAATGCCATTTCCTTTATCGTAAAAATTTCTATTGATGAAAAAAATATAAATAAAATAATGTTATTAATCGAAGTTTGTAATCCACTAGTATGAAGCTATAGTTAGTTAGAACCCATATTCAAAATACATGCCAAAAACTAGGTATGTGCAACAGACAGAACGAGGTAAAGTGCAATACGGGTATAGGGGCCGTCCATAAATTACGTAAGGTATTTTGGGGAGGGTGGGGGTCAAGGATTTCTTACTCGTGTGGTGGTTTCTCTCTCTCTCTCTCTTTTTTATTAGAATAAGTGCACTAATACTATGTCTTGTTATTCTACCAGTTTTACTGCTCAACCATTATTGATTCCACTTTTGCGTAGCGTTATCATGAATATAATTTTTAAAAGGCTGCTACGTGAAAGAGGGATGCGAGTGTAGTCCAAATCACTGTCCTTTGCAGCTGACTTAGCCTCAATGTCGGCTTTTTCGTTTTTAAGTTTGCCAGTATGGCCTGGAAAATATATAAAAGTTATTTTATTTACAAGATTTTTAATATGGTGCTGGATATATGTGATTTTATTGCTATTGCTATTGCAATTGGGATTTTTTAATAGAACTTTTATGACAGACTGAGAATCACTGTAAATGTTGATAGACAGAGTTTTGTTTGGTAGTGAAGTGATCCACTAAACAGCTTGGTAGTCAGCATCTTCTTCAGTTTGATAGATGGAGGTATGTGGGAAGTATTTGTACCTTCTAACATATTTTGGGCAAAATATGTCAGTATGGAGGAAGAAAGCCATACTTGAGCCAACATAAAGGGAGCTTTTAGACCCATCTGTGTAGATATTAATGTCTGCATGGTTATCCATTGAGGAAGCAGATGACACCAAATGTACCCTGTGTACACTAAATGTGATCATAACGTTGTTTACAGGGTGATGATCACATGTAGTAGGGTAATTGCAATGTGGTAGCATAAGAACAGCCGTAGATAGGAGTAGAGACTGTTGTTGAGCCTCGATGTTTGTAGTTCTGATGTAGTAGTTTAGAACCTTTTCTTACAATACATAGTGCAAAAGAAGGAGCTCTGCTAATATCAGAGGCATTAGTAGAAACAGTTCTGCAGCACTTCGAAATTCTGATGGAAAACTGTCTTTGAAGATAGAGTAATTGCTACAGAATTTTTAATAGTTACATGACCCCAACTAGAGGCCGCATAAAATAGCATTGGTTGTATTGTCCCATAATATAGAGTTTTAGAAGCTTTATTATTTATTCCCCAGGTGCACCTAGCACATTTTAGCAGCATGTAGTTTATTTTATTGACCTTATCCAAGACGTAATTAATATGGCAACGGAATGTGGTTTCTTTTCTCTCTTGTTTTATTTTGTATGACGTTTCGATTTACACGTGTCATAGAAGATACTTGCATATAGTCTTATTACTACTCCAATTATAGCACATTAAACATTTCCATCCAAATTTCTTTATCATCTTCTCTGCTAACCCAGTGTAATCACGTCAAACGTAAGTCAATGATGATCATTGTAGAATTATATTTGAAAATACACAAAAAATAAAAAATCAATTTCTCGAAAGACAAACCTGTACGAAAGATAATATCGTTGTGTACGATACAGTAATACTCGTGGTGTAATAAATGAAAATCTACTAATAAATAACTGTGTGGAAAGTTGTAGAATCCTTATAAGCACTCATAAAGTAAGAATAATGAGGCATGTGAGCATAAAATTTGTACTTAATATGTTAACATTTTTAAATAAAGTTTGCACTTTCCGGTTAGGTTAGGTTAGAACGTGCGTCTCCACTGTTTCCTTTCTTTTGTTTGCTGGAATCAGAGATGAGCCGAAATTTTGGCTACGTAAGGTAAATTTAACCGAATAAGCTTACACTAAAAATGCATTACGGACTCAATACGTCCCACTTCAGTTGGTGTTTGTACTTAATTTAAACATAAATTATAAAAATACATTAAAAGACCGTTGTAAATATGACAAATTCACAATTATCACAGGTGATGTCTCACAAGTATAATATACCATCACCTTTTTAGCCTTGGGAACACTAACTTATACAGTTTGCCAAAAATTACTATTTNATTCTTTATATTATAAAGTTATTTTTTGTACACTTTCATGTAAAATTTATGCATACGATGCTCTTTAATGCAGAATTATATTAAACTGTGCACATACATTTTGTCATTAGCATTTATGCTTCGAAAAACATTGTTAACGTAGTCCCTCCTTACAATTTGTGCACACAGTTCGTAACCGCTTCGTTAAGTTACTACTGCTGCAGTCACGGCAACGAGCTTTCCTTTTTCCTGGAAGTTTCCTCAGCCCCTTACCTTTTTGAGAATTGTTTTTAGTGATATTCGTGGTCTTCCATTCCCACGCAAAGCTCTGGATTACGGCCCGGTAATACGCGGTTTCAGTTTTCACTGTTCCTGGTCCCGAAAAATTCTCTTGGTATACAATGTAGCTATTTAACGCCATCCGAGCTATAATATTTAGTGCTACTTTCTTCCAAAACTTCACTGGCCTCTTTCCATTCGAATTTACAATTACCCTCATATCGGGTATGTCGAAGCCGCGAATAAATTTACCGTAATTATGAATTATTTCTGGCTTCAATTTAGCCTTTCCATTCATAATTACTTTTACATCGCGTGCCCTTGAGTGGCTGGATAATATAAAGATAGGGTTTTTTTGTGACTGCTTCTCTTTAAAGCCGCAAGCTAACACGGGACCAGATCGGAAATACGATGTTGCGGTAGCATTTTACGGCTTCCCCGAACAGTTCCATTTATATAAGTTCGTAGAGAATAGAGATGGCGAACTAGTGGCACCTACGTGAAATATCTGTTAACAAACACGTGGTACCCTTTATTCAGGTACATACCAAAGTCAAGCAGTTTTCGCACAACAGTATAGCCTAAACCAAATTCTGAAATGCTCTGTTTCTCCTGCTCAGATCTGCACCGTTTAAAAGCGAAAAATCCCAAGCAGTAGTTAGACACTGAGTCGCATAGCATCCACAATTTGATACCCCATAATAAATGTATATTTGGCCTAACACTAACCTGAAAGCTTAATGGGTGTCATATTTTTGACACCCATTAAGCTTTCGGCAACAGATATTTCCTGATGGGGAGTCGAATGGTGTCGAAAACCCTGTTTGCATGGTGTCGAAACACCCTATTCGCATGATCCAAAAGAGGCTGGAATTTTGCTCCGGGATCATAACCCGATTCTTTACGGCCAGGCAACTTGGTGTTATCGACAAGATGGAAAAATCTTAGTAAACGAGAAAACCGTTGTTTAGAAAACATTTCCCCAAACCACGAACTGTGACTGAGGTAAGAAGTCGACCAGTATGAAGCTATATTTGGGTTTTTTATGAGACCCATATTTAAAATACACGCCAGAAATCCTTTCATCTCTGGAACAGAGACTTTGGTCCAGTCCTTCAAATATGACGGTGCGTTATTACCCATGCCATTTTTCACCTGCCAGGCATATCGGTTGGTTTCTTTCACCATAAGAGGGAGAAAATTACTAGTGAAAAAAAGATAGAAATATGCGATAGGAGGAGAATCGGGAGGAGGCATATGTTTTGGGCCAGATAACTCTTGGAATGAAAAAGGTAAAGGGCAAGGTTCTTCCGGTGAGAGAATCTCGCTGTAGTCCTCATCTTCCATTTCGTCATCACTGTCAGAAGGGGCAGCCGGTTGGGTGATAGTTGGGGAAGGCACATCATCCTCATACTCATCATCACAGTCACAGTCTTCATCTCTAAAATCACTTAGATCGCAGTCATATTCAGAAATATTTGACATCTGATCGAAGTACTCCGTTTCGGAATCACTCATTTCGCTTTGAGAAATTTTGTAGAAAAATCCTAATTTAAAATTAAAAAAAACGTATTACTATGGAAAATAATACAGTACAGTAGATTCTCGATATTCCGACTGATCCAGTGATCCAACGCTGTCAGTCAGGGGGAAGCTACACAAATGAAATTTTCTTCTTACCACTCGGTATGTGCAACAGACAAAATAAGGTACAGTACAATACAGGTATGCTATTGTCCGTTACTAGTTTGTTGCACGAGCGGAACATTCAAGTGTTTTTTTGGTGTACTGTAAATTATAGTAGCGATTTATCCTACAGGCTAAAAGGTCAATTGCTCGGCGTTTCACCAATAAGGCGTTCCTCACCAATCTTTTATTAAAAAAGTTTGTATTTATTTCTTATCAATACTCCACCTCATTCTCACTTAATTTTATTTACATTTACAAAATATATACAATTTTTGAGTGGTCACCCATATAAAAATCGATAGAAACAGAAACCTATTCCGAGCCGTACGTTTCGTTTTCGGTTTCGATAGCCACGTGCGATAACTAAGCTTTTGTTATCGATCGCTCTCGAGCTGCTGTTAGGAATGTAACGAAAGTGTAAACAACACGGGGTCTTTTGGTGTAAGAATGATTTTATTTCACGAGCAATTAGAGAGAGAGTTAATAAACTATGTTGTTGTATTGCTTAAAAATAATTACCTTAACTATTTATGAATATTGTATGAATAATGTGATTGCTTTCTTGTTAAAATTTAAGTAGCTTTAGCATAAACATTATTTGTGAAATAAGTTTCATTCGCATATGTATAAATCAAAATAATATATTTATATTCAAAGCTATGATTATCAGTTACTTTTCGCCATCTTTCTGAGCCGACTCCATTAAAATTCAGACAATGCTATTTCTTGGCACAATTTCTGTCGATCTTTTACGGTAAGGTAGACAACTAATTTCCGACATTAATTTAGGGTTGTCTTCTATAAATTAACGAGCATCTCGAACTGGCGACTTGTAGTTCGATGGCTTCGCTATCCTTTCTTCGACATTTTAAAACAAAACTATTTCACTAACGCTGATACATAACAATGCTAAAACCACGTGCTTCGCTTAGAAAATAGCGGGTTGCAGTCACGTGACGAAAATACAATGTTAACTAAACTGTGATTGGTTAAAGCGTAATAGATATTCCTTTTCTCGTTACCCGGCAGAATTTTCTGTCGGGTTAGTGTTTCAACGACGTATACTTAAGGAAAGGCAATAGGAATTTATTGGTCTACAATTTGTTCAAATTGCAGCCCAAAGAAACCTAATGGGTAAACACAAAAAGGTATGAGAAGCGCTGCTCTACACCTGTTGCATCTAGTGTTTGAAATAAAGTATTTGATTTCCAAACAGAAATGTACTATTTGTCGAAAGGTTTTCTTGCATAAAATTAATCGATTCTAGAATAATTTGATTCCAACATTTCCAAAACTCATATAATCTATTTGGGATGATCCCTATAAAATATGCTATAAATAAAAAATCGTAGGAATACTTAACGAGTGTGTATCGTTCGAACACGCTATTGGTTAATTAAGCATGTTTGCGTCGCGGATCGGCATATTGGACACCGAGAGTGTCACGTGAGATTTCGCGGGATGCCATTCGTTCACGTGCCTCGCTTCTCTGACAGGTCTCCTGATACGTATTCTTATTGTGGAAGAATTCGCTAAACTTTGGAGACATCACGTGATAAATCAGTGATGTCATATTTCCTATCACGTGATTTAATTTGGATACTGAAATGACCCCGAACTACAAGTTGATAAACTTTATAATACCGGAACGTTCTACAAGAAAACCCACTCAGTTTAACTCCGCAAAAAACGAAAAAATTTTAAAAACTAAAGCAATAATTAATCGAATTACTTTAAAATTCATATTAAATTCGAATNGGATACTGAAATGACCCCGAACTACAAGTTGATAAACTTTATAATACCGGAACGTTCTACAAGAAAACCCACTCAGTTTAACTCCGCAAAAAACGAAAAATTTTTAAAAACTAAAGCAATAATTAATCGAATTACTTTAAAATTCATATTAAATTCGAATTGTTTCTTAACTAAGTTATTAAATAATTATAAATTTGTCATCTTAATTTACAAATATATGATTTTATTTTAAAAGTTAGATAATTATATAACAATACCACACATTTAGATTATGTAACATATGAGACTAACTATTTCCATGCAATGGCGGCTTCCACCGTGCACAGTCAGTAAGTAATCCGATGAGTTTTCGCTTTTAGCTCTTATTAAACGCGTCGCCCCGAAAAATTTGTGTGTTTAGGACACGTCTATTAGAGAGGTGTCTTAAGAGGGCAAAATTAGAAAAAAATGCCACATGTATAAAGGATGGACTTTTACCGTCGGATTATAGAGAGACTACTGTATTACGAAAAATATATCAAAAATACAAATATAAAATTAAAGTGTTTAAGAGTAACTTACCTTTATAACACAAAGCAAACCTAACAAGAAAAATACCGAAAACAATGGCACAATAGAAATTCTTAGCTGCAACGACATTACAGTCAATGCTAAAATCACAAGTGACAATTGGATCAGTGAACTAACGGCTTTATGAAATTGTTGAACGCCACCTAGCAGAAAATATGTAAACTAAAGGGGGGGTACAGTATACCAGGGATTCCCAACATTATGCCAGCGGGGACATGTGCGCCTGTGGAACTATTTGCATGCGGCCGTGGAAAAGTGTTGAAATAATGAAAAAATCAAATATTAAAAACAAACAAAATAAAAAGATACTTTAGTTTTTAAGATCGAGTCTTAAGGACATTCTTGCATCCTCTCCGAATCAAACTAAAAAATCTCCAGTTTCTCTTCCCCCTTTAAACCCGTCGTTGTCCCGTCTATTGTTCTCGATGTTTCTCGGAACACAACATTCACGTTGACAAAGAAAGGTTAGAAAGTTAAGACAAAAACAAAGGAAAGAAGTTGAGAATTAAATTAATTAATTTAATCAAAACACGTACATTTTAAATAAATATAAATAGTAAGGCAAGCAGCTACAATAATCATATCTCCAATCTCTATTGAATTAGTCAATATGGTATTACAGTCGACCCCCCCTATAACATGGTAGATACGTTCTTGTTTTTATGAATCCAGCTTCTACGAGTCCAGCCAATCACAGCCCAGCACGTATGCAGTTTACGGACTACGGCTGGTCGAAAGGTTTTCTTGCATAAAATTAATCGATTCTAGAATAATTTGATTCCAACATTTCCAAAACTCATATAATCTATTTGGGATGATCCCTATAAAATATGCTATAAACAAAAAATCGTAGGAATACTTAACGAGTGTGTATCGTTCGAACACGCTATTGGTTAATTAAGCATGTTTGCGTCGCGGATCGGCATATTGGACACCGAGAGTGTCACGTGAGATTTCGCGGGATGCCATTCGTTCACGTGCCTCGCTTCTCTGACAGGTCTCCTGATACGTATTCTTATTGTGGAAGAATTCGCTAAACTTTGGAGACATCACGTGATAAATCAGTGATGTCATATTTCCTATCACGTGATTTAATTTGGATACTGAAATGACCCCGAACTACAAGTTGATAAACTTTATAATACCGGAACGTTCTACAAGAAAACCCACTCAGTTTAACTCCGCAAAAAACGAAAAAATTTTAAAAACTAAAGCAATAATTAATCGAATTACTTTAAAATTCATATTAAATTCGAATTGTTTCTTAACTAAGTTATTAAATAATTATAAATTTGTCATCTTAATTTACAAATATATGATTTTATTTTAAAAGTTAGATAATTATATAACAATACCACACATTTAGATTATGTAACATATGAGACTAACTATTTCCATGCAATGGCGGCTTCCACCGTGCACAGTCAGTAAGTAATCCGATGAGTTTTCTCTTATAGCTCTTATTAAACGCGTCGCCCCGAAAAATTTGTGTGTTTAGGACACGTCTATTAGAGAGGTGTCTTAAGAGGGCAAAATTAGAAAAAAATGCCACATGTATAAAGGATGGACTTTTACCGTCGGATTATAGAGAGACTACTGTATTACGAAAAATATATCAAAAATACAAATATAAAATTAAAGTGTTTAAGAGTAACTTACCTTTATAACAAAGCAAACTTAACAAGAAAAATACCGAAAACAATGGCACAATAGAAATTCTTAGCTGCAACGACATTACAGTCAATGCTAAAATCACAAGTGACAATTGGATCAGTGAACTAACGGCTTTATGAAATTGTTGAACGCCACCTAGCAGAAAATATGTAAACTAAAGGGGCGGTACAGTATACCAGGGATTCCCAACATTATGCCAGCGGGGACATGTGCGCCTGTGGAACTATTTGCATGCGGCCGTGGAAAAGTGTTGAAATAATGAAAAAATCAAATATTAAAAACAAACAAAATAAAAAGATACTTTAGTTTTTAAGATCGAGTCTTAAGGACATTCTTGCATCCTCTCCGAATCAAACTAAAAAATCTCCAGTTTCTCTTCCCCCTTTAAACCCGTCGTTGTCCCGTCTATTGTTCTCGATGTTTCTCGGAACACAACATTCACGTTGACAAAGAAAGGTTAGAAAGTTAAGACAAAAACAAAGGAAAGAAGTTGAGAATTAAATTAATTAATTTAATCAAAACACGTACATTTTAAATAAATATAAATAGTAAGGCAAGCAGCTACAATAATCATATCTCCAATCTCTATTGAATTAGTCAATATGGTATTACAGTCGACCCTCCTATAACATGGTAGATACGTTCTTGTTTTTATGAATCCAGCTTCTACGAGTCCAGCCAATCACAGCCCAGCACGTATGCAGTTTACGGACTACGGCTGTTTGGAAGGTTTCTTCCATAAAATTAATCGATTCTAGACTAATTCGACTCAACATTTCCAAAATACGTATAATTTTTTGGGAATAATCCATAT